TTGCATCTGAGTTACAATAAAGGGCAAAATCCAATGTAAAACCCATGTAATGCAAAAACTAAGTTTTTACTTAATTACTCTCACACCTCGAGATCTAAACCATTTGAGATCAAATATTTCCTCTTAATTGATCAAAAATAGACACAATAAGATTACAAAATATTCAGCAATTTGGACACACATCTGTATGAAAATGTGTCAAATATTTCCAGAGAACATGCCTAGTTTTGAAAACCAGCAAACGCATTTCTCCACACTATCTGATTAACTTAAAATTTTCATGTTATTTTGCCCTATAACGTGTTTGAATTGTATGCAGGGAACAAGGCTGCTGTTCAAATTTTAAATAATTTCTTGAGATATTTTCATCAGTTACAGAAAGCACAATTCACCTCGTTTGCCCATTTTATGTTTTACCGCTGTCCAGAGGATTGTTAGTCAAAGTAGGTTAAAAAGCATTTTTTCTTTTATTCCAAAATACAATCAGGTATGGACAAACATATTTTCACTTTTTTAATGACTTTATTTAGAGATAGGACGGTGAAGAGTCAGAAATCAGAGAGTGTGGGGAATGACATATGGGAAAGAATTCAGAGGTTGGATTCAAACCCAGGCAGCTTGGAGGACTACACACATCCATACATGGCTTACATGCACTCACCACAACCCTACCGGCTTCCAGAGACATACTTTTCTTGGCATTTTGCATTTGAGACAGATTTATTAGGATTTTTCCAGAACACTCATTATGGACGTATATCCAAAGAAGTTCCCAATCTATGGAAATGTTCAAATTTGCCAAAAAAGAAACAATAAAGACCTCTAGTTCAAAGCTTTAAGGAGGAATATTTCCGTCTTCACTTACAAATCCAAAACTCTGACAACACACTGACTTGAAATGTGATGAAGCTTAATAAAAGTTCCTTTTTTGTCTGCAGTAGTAAAATAAAAAAAAAGTGAATGGCTATGACAATAATGTAATTCTCTGGTACGTAAAGCTGCAGGCTCTTGGCAATGCGGCTCTGACAGGGATCATCCAGCCTAATTTATACCCTGAGAAAGGCTTGGTGTCCCGGGACATAAATTTAGTTGCGGTGTGCGCTGAAAAAGGGGAAGGCCCATAAACCAGCCGGGACACAGAGCAGAGGGAGCCGGAGACACAGAGGGAGAGAACAATGGGCAGCCATCAGGAGGAGAGCCCCAACAGCTGCGGAGCCCTGCTGCATCCCAACAACACACACTCACATGCACACACACACACACACACACACAAACGTGCACCTCACACACAGACAAACTCTCCTTTTACTTTTCATTCTCTGTCACACATGCGCACACACACACAAGTTTCCTCCTCAAACACTCTCCGGTCGGGCCATCTGAAAGAGGGGGCCAGCTAAGCAGATGTTCTGCCACTGTGTTCACAAAAGGCACAAGTGACTGAGGAGGGGGGGGGGGAGAAAGAAAAGGGAATAATACTTCCTCATTTTTTTTTCCTGCTGTTGAGTCAGCATGCAGAGCAACTCCGGACAAGTGCTTATTTTACATGAATTTAAAGCTTAGTTAACTCATTACATGTATGTTTTGCTATCTCAGTCAGTCCACTTTGGCTTTGTAGTGTGCAGACACTGACGCAGCATGTGTAAGCATGTGTCTGGAGGAAGGCTTTATCAAGGTGAGAGGAAGCTCAGGTCAAAGTGTACAAACAAGTAACAACCCTAGTAAACTACTATGTAAGAAGTTGTACATTATATACAGATGCCCTATCAGCACAATCTGTAACAATCCCACGTATTTATATTGATTGACTACTGATGTGATTTAGCATTATTCCTAACTTTTTTGCTGGCTTGCTCACATCCTGCATTTTTAGAATGATGTCACGTTTGTTCTTTCCCTGTGGACAAAAACAAAGAGATAAAATAAATGTTTAATAAACTCACAAAGCATATCTCAAAGTCTTTATTTACACAGCTGATACAATATCCCAATAAATAAATCATTGGAAAAATAAAACAACATTTAATCTATTAGTAATCATTTCAAAAGTAAATTTAAAGTTAAAGTACATTTATGAGCCAGCATGTAAAAAAAATATGCTTATTATTGATTGTGAAAGGGATTATTCACTTATTTACTGTTATTTACATTTTTTTAAACTTTCACCAGGAGTGCTCAACCAAAAAGAGGTGATCATATTCCCTATTCTTCCACAAAATGTCATGTTTTCATTTCTCAAGTCAAGGAAAATGCTTTTTTCTTTTTTTTTAAATACACAAAAAACTATTTCATAATTAAGATCTGAGTTAATTGTGACAGATATTTTTCATTTCCTTCTGACACCTTTCAAAGCAAACAGTAACACAGATAAAGCACTAGTAGCTCAACATTTTACTCAAGTATGTATCACATGGATGAATGTGCTCATTTATGAACTATCACCTACCTTTCTATTGCCATACATACATACTGTATAGCCTTCATCACAGCTTCTAGTGCTCAGATCCTATCACAAGGCAAGATCACATTTTCAGGAATGCCAGACATTTGCAGCATGAAAATTGCCCTAATAGTTGTTATTTTTCAAACAGACAGGTGCTCATGCCCTGCAGTGAACGCGTTGAGCAGTTGCAACACTTCCGTCTGGTACCAAATGTTTGTGTCCTCTCCAGATGCACGTATAGCCTCTTTTCCCCTGACACCCACTCCTCTCCTCTCTCTGTTTTTCTCTTCGGCACACAAAAACACACACACTATGCAGCCTGCAGGTTTTGACCTGTAAATAACTGCCCAGACAGGGTCTAGTCAGTCAGATGTGTAGGCAGAGCGAGGCGTCAGTGCCTACACGGCTCCTGCAGAGCAACAACAGATGCTTATCATGTTTTACTGAGGGTGGTGGTGAAGAGGGAGGGTAAATGTGGGGCCCTGTGTATGAATGGCTCTGACAATAAATGCCCTCAATCATGAGACAAGAGATGCACACAGATATGCCAGGAGAGTTACAATGAAGTCAGAGAGAGTGTGTGTGTGTGTGTGGATGTGTGTGTTTTTAAAGAGAGGCAGAGGGCGCATGTGCAGCTCTCACACCCACTGCAGCTTTTCACAGCAGATCATCCTCTCGCACATTCCAAGTAGAGGCAACAGCAAACAAATGGCTTCAGGTTCAAGTGAAGTATGTTTCAATCCTTTCTCTGCTTTCTCCGCTGCTCTTAAAACGTCTCGGGCGACGCTGCGAGCGGGAGACAGGGGGTTAGCCTCAAGGTCAAAGACGAGAGGATTACTCAAGATGCACTTCAGATAAAAGTGTCAGTCTGTTAATCAGCTAAGATCCATCATGCGGCCCAGGTCGTACTGTTAGGCTGGTGCTGCTGGTGTGTGTGTGTAATGATGAAGATGAAACTGAAACAAATTCCCCGTGACGCACACGATCCTGTTCATTTGTAAAGGCTACGAGATGATTCAGCGCTGCGAGGTTATCACCATCCTTCTCGCGGTTTCTTGCTGAGACTTACATTTCTCTCCTCTTCTTCTCTGCAGAGGAGTAAAAGCTCATCCCCCCCCCCCCCCCCCCCCCACGTTGTTTTTTCCTGTTGTTTGCTGAAATGCTTTCACAGCTAACTGGTGAAGGTGGTGATTTGGAGTCCTGGCTCGCTGGCTCACTCTCTCTATACGGAAATTAATTCACATTTCAGGGCCGAGTATGGGACTTCAATAGAGATGTTTTTCATCATCAAAATCTTAAATTACACTCTCATCCTGGGAATTGACCCTTTGTTGGGGACCGTTTCTCTCTGGTATCAGTTTCAGAGCGGTGAGCTCAAATGCTGTCACAAACCTAAAGGACTACACCGGGTTGAAAATTGCACAGCAAGTAGCCCAAGAATAGGAGAAATTAATTAATTTGATTTGATCACATCTTCCCTATTGACCTGCAATTGAAAAGAAAACAGATAATTAAAAAAAAAACATATTTGATAACCCTTAAGCTGTCATTAAAAAAAGATTGCATTAGCATACAACCAAGCTATGCTAACATTGCTCTAGCGTTAGGCTACACTTCAACAATTCAACAACTGCATTGATCAGCGTAAATCAACATATTAGATCACCAATTCAGTATGTTAGAAAAGAGCTAGGCCGAATTAGCCTGGTTGGGCTACTTTAGAAAGTCACTGAAGGACCTGTTTTTGAATATTAAAGGCTTTATATGCAATTTTTTTGATCCAGCAGATGTCGCCCTTGAGCACCAGCATGAAAACAAAACAACTCGCGCTGCATTGTTGTGTTAGCATGCTAATGCTAGCGATCTTTATTATGCTCGTATCTTCACACTGCATGTAAATTTACCTGAAATGAGCGTGATCTAGAAACACAGTTAAGCAGTGAGTACAGTATGTTATTCTTCTTTTCTCTAGTCCCTCAATAAAACAACTTTTAAACACGAGGGGAGGAGTCAGCCGGCCGGCCGTCCTGGCGATGTAAACAAAGTGAAGATAGGACTCTGAAAACTCTGAAAACATCACAGACAGTGGGACTCGGGTGTTACACTCATTGTAGACAGTCATGACTCACAGAGTTATTTTCAGAGGATAAACTTGATTTCTATTATATTTAAGTGTGAAAAATAGCATATAAAGCCTTTAAAGACTCAAGAAAACAGGCTACAAGAGCTTACGAACCATTCGGCTTTTAATGGAATAAAACACTTTTTAAAGTCATTGTTTATTAGCCATACAAATGCTGTGTAGCATATAGGCCTATTCAATTTGTATTTCTGTAGTTTTAAAGTTGCTTCCATGCAAGTTTCTCTGAATTATTCATGCACATGGTCGCTGAACTTTGAGCCAAGAACAAAAATTCTAAATATCTGAGCTGCAAACACGAGGAGAAGGTGAGGTGAGGCGCTAGAGAGAGAGAGAGAGAGAGAGAGAGGGAGGGAGGCAAAGTGTGTGTGCGTGTTTGTGTGTATGGAGCAGAGAGAGAGAGAGAGAGAGAGAGAGAGAGAGGGGAGGGAGAGAGGTGGTGCAGTCACGCAGAGTGATCCAGGAGTGAGTGAGGCGACAGAGCGGAGGTGACAGCGGAGAATGGAGAGGAGCCCGTCCGCCCGGCGAGCTTTGACCGCGGCGAGCGAGGAGAACCCACTCGGCCTCTTCCTTCTGGAGCCAGCGTGCTGAAAGAAACCAGGGGGGGCAAAGGAAAGGAATGGCTGATCCTCTGCGGAGGACTTTACTAGCGAAACTCCGGGGGAAGAAATCCAAGAAAGGAGCGACTGTCGGCGGTGGATACGGCTCTGCTGCTGCTGCTTCTGCGGCGAATGGGGGCCGAGAAGGTAAAGAAAAAGTTTTGCAAACGCAGCGAGACTCCGACGAGGCTCGCCCGGTAGTTTTGCTCGCAGGGCTGGATTGCACGACAGAGAGAATGAGTACGTACGAGAATTATGTTGACGGGGCGATTGTGCAGACAGGGGGGGTTGTGGTAGTCCGGGAGAGCCGGCCGGAGTCGGAGTCGGAGTCGGGGTCGGGGTCGGCCAGCGCGCGTCCCCAGGAGCGAAGCAGCGGGGGCAGGGTTCGGGTTAATGAGGAGCTCCTGGGGGTCGCACTTCAAAGAGGCGTGCAGTTCGGGGGACATGAGCCCAGGCAGGGACACAGCAGGAGTCACAAGGGGCCAAGAGCCGGTGGCAAAATCACGTTATCGAGCGAGGTGCCGCTTGGGGGACCGCATGTCCAGAGAAAACACTTCATTACGGCGCAGCGGCAGTGCAGTGATTCAATCGGGTTTGGGGACAATTCGAATCACGTTACGCATCGAGCGAGGGTAGAAACGCAAACCTCGGTGAGCAGTAAACCAGCAGAGGGACGCGTTGCTACCGCAGGGACAGAGCCAGGAGACAGGAAGGGACTCACCGGGCAAATGGCAGGGACTGTAGTGGCTGTCGATGAATGCAACGCAAACTGGACTTGTGACAACGACCAAACTTTGGAGACAAACTCGCCGGTTTGCGCGGCGCCAATCCACCCGAAGTGTGCGTCCAGGAACGCGGAAGAAAGAATGTTAATCAGGGATGTTGAGAGCTATGGGCCTGAGTATTCAGGGGGGAATAGAGGGCCCACTACAGGTAGTGTGCAGAGCCCGACTTTCTTCCCCACAGAGTTAGAAATCTGCGACATTAACGCGGCGTCACTGTGCGCCACAGAGGCCTCCCTTAGATACACTTTGGACAGCGAGGATGACGATTACTATGATAATGAAATCCTGCCTTTTTATGAAACCATCAGAGCAAAAAGTGACAGAGCAGAGGCTACAGAGCCACCAGGTCAGGAGAAAGATGAGAGTAACAGCGCCCGGGAAACAGACAGGCTTAGAAACCAGCTGAAAGAAGCTTATTACCTTCTCATCAACGCCATGAATGACATCAACCTGGATGTCCAGCAGATGAGCGGTGCTTTAACTGAGCAGCTGCAGGCCACCTCCTCTTGTAGCAGCCACTCCAGGGATAGTTTGTGCTCCAGGTTGTCTGCCAAAAACATGGACAGCGACTCCTGGTCCTCAGGAGGAGACCACAGCCCCCAGCAAGTGTCCGACACCGACTCGCTGCTGCTCTGCCTGAGCAGGAACCTCGAGTCGGGCCTCAAACGCAGGCCGAATAGTAAAAGCATGTTGAACCTGTCCTTGTCTAAGAAAAGACCAATGTTAGCTCGCTCTGCTAGTGACAGAGCCATCAGGTATTCAGGTGGGCCCTCGCTTTGTAATGACACCCCAGAAAGTAGAGATGAAACTGAGAAAGAGGAAAAAGTTGCAGGAGTGAGCGAGCGGTCAGATCCTCAGGGGCTTTACATCAGCGACGAGCTGCTGCAAGACCCGGGAGGCGATGAAGACCGCGGGGGGCCGCTCAACGAGAGCAGCGGCTCGGTCAACAGCCTCACGGGATCTTCGGACAGCAATCAGGGTCTGGACAGCAAGCAGGAAGTCCGAGCTCAGGGGGCCAACTCTGCCAACAAGGGGCCCGGGGTCACCGTCAACAAGATGCAGGAGTGGATGCACAAGGGCCGGTTGCTGTCCTCGGAGATGAAGCAGCGGATCGAGGGCTCGTCGTCGCCCCGCGGAGGGAGGCAAAGTCAGGATCCCGGGGTTAAACCTGTCAAGGCAAAGTCGCCTACGACCACCAAGAGGCCGAGGCAACAGCAGCAGCACCCAGGTAGGAAAGGCTACACGGAGTCGGGACCTCAACTCCCGTGGATCCTCTAAAAATCAAAAGACCTGTCACCCCTTCTTCCTCCCGTCTTGATTGTTGTCATCCTCCTCCGATCGTAGTAAACTCCGTCTGGTTGGCGGTCCACCCTGCACTCGTCCTCTTCTGGATGCAAAGCAAAGGGACGAGACTCCTCAGACCTCTTTGCTTTTCCTTTTTCAAGCCGGTGGCGGGCTCTGTTCCTTCACACTAATTTAGGTGCATTTTTAACACTAGCACATCAGGCTGTAGGTCGGATCACTCACAGTTCAGTAACAACTAACTCACTCTCTCTGATAGCTGCGGTGGTGGGTTTCATGGTGTTGTTGTTGTTGTTGTTGTTGTTGTTGTTGGTGGTGGGTTTGTGTGTTTGTGTGTGAATGAGCTTTGATTAAGCTGAAATGTTCACTGATTTTTCTGATTGTGCTTTTTAAGAGCTGTTTGTATTGAGGTGCAAAACAGGAAAACATCTGTATCATGAAATCACTGAAAGAAACAAGGGGAAGTTGTTTAGGTGTTAAAAATGCAAATGAATGAAAGAAACATAACATTCAGGATAAGTTAAAGCTCCTGTGAGGAGTTTTTAGCTGATAATGAAACAGACTTTAATTAATAATGATGCCTCTTTAAAAGCTGTAAAAAAAAATATTAAACCATCAGGAATTTAAAGTTAAAGAGTGAGTGGGAAACTTCTGCTGCAAAGGAAGAATGTGCAACTTTTTGATCCAGTAGATGTCACCTTTGAGTAGCAGCATTAGAACAGATTTTTGGCTAAACCTCCGCTATTCTGAAGCCTCCGCTCCCCTCCAGCGGCACACCTCCAATCCCTCTCCACTCGAGTTCACATGAAGGAGTCATCAATGAGAACGCACCATAATTAAGCTCCATTAAGCGCAAGCGGCGGACAAAATTGTCCTTTGCTGGAGCTGCAATTGCCTTTGGTCTGCATTGTTGTTAGCCGGTTAATGTTAGCACACTCTGGTTAACTCAGAGCTTCACATTGAACATAAATTGACACAGAATGACTGTGATCTAAACACACTTACGTGACATCCAAATAAGCTCTGAGTATGTTATTCTTCTTTTCTCCAGTCCTTTACTGAAACAGCTTTAAACTAAAGGCCGTCCCGTCCATGTAAACACAGCTCTGACAACAATACAGCTGGCAGGACTCAAGTGTCTCAGGATACTCTGCTGTATTTACGTGTAAAATGTCGCACATAAGACATTTTGTAAGCAACAACATTCTGGTCCCAGCTTCTTTCATGTGACTATTTGCTGCTTTTCTTTGTCATTTGTCATATCTATTTGAAGTTGATGCAGACTATTTGGGTTTTAGCCTTTTGGTTTGATGATAGAAGCAATTTCAAGATGCTTTTTTCCTCAGAAACAGTTGTCAAAATAATCTCACCCACAAGATCCATATCCTCACTTGTTGTTCACACTTTCAATTCGATTCCCATCGATTGATTATTTGCACCACACTGCTGTGACGTTTACCACCGTACACAACATTTTAAGTCAATTAGGTTCAAGGTTTAATGTGTCGTGCATTGTTTTTTGTTTTTTTTGTCAATGTTGACCAGAATTGACTGCAAACAGCAGTTAGCTTGTACAACAACCGGAAACTGTCAATACGGAGAACTTTATATTGACATTTGGTTGCAGAGGCTTTTAACTGTACCGGTAAAAGCTTTGTTTGCTTTCCCAGTTTCTGTATGTGTTAGTGATTGCCGGCGTGTTTCCCAGAGTAAATAGATGACACGCCATGTGCACGGACTGTTGTTGACGGTCAGTGTGCGGCGCTGCTAGAAATAGAGTGTGATCTCCTGAGCGGAAGGTCCTCTGTGTTTAACTTCCAACCTCTGTTGGCTCATAACCCTCCAACTTTTTTTTTACATGTCTTCCTCTTTCCTCTTGTTAAAAATGAAGACAGGACTCTTCTTGGTATAAGTTTCCAAAGGTTTTTTTTTTTTTTCCCCTCCGTGATTCTTCAATTTTTCCCCATTTTGCCCAGCTTTCCCTTCTCTGTCCCCACTGAACTTTTCCACAGCTGTGGCCAGAGGAATCCAAAGCAGGAGAGAAGCCACTGCAGTCTCTCTCTGTGTGTGTGTGTGTGTCTTTCTGAATGTGTGTATAAGGGGGGGGGGGGGGTTGGGCTGTCATGTTGCCTTCCTCCCCAGTCGTTTGCCCTGGACAGCTCCATGGTAACCTGCATTTTAAAGAGACTCGGGATTGAATATTTAGGATGCCATTCCTGTTGTTTAACTTTGTTGCGTTGTGTCTCTTAATTCCTTGCCATGAATGAACAAAATGAAGGGCGATTAAGTATTTATTAAGGTCAGCCCCTGAGCTTATCTTGCCCCTGTGAGGCCTCTCAGCGCCCCACAAAGGGCCATTAAAAAAAAAAAAAAAGCCAAAGCTCTCAAAAGCCGCAGTGAATTGCTTGTCTTGGCTTGAAACTCTTCATTGAGTTTATGGCTCTCGCTCTTAATTCATGCAAATATTCTCACATTTTGGACTGTCTAAAAATAGTACTTCCTGTTCCTCCCCTGAGTATTAGTTGGGAATTAAACCTCAGTATGAAGTCACAGGGCTAAGACGCTGGCTTGATTAGAGCGGAGCTAATTTATTCCTGTACTGACTTGTACTTTAATTACTGTGTAAAAAGTATGTCCATTATCTCCCAGCTGAGTGTCACTCCCTACAGGAGTGTAGGTGGGGGATATTGTGCACATGAGCATGCATATTCACATCTCGGGCTGTGGACATGCATGTTTGTATTTGCAGTTTTGTTGTGTTGTTGCTGCAGCAGAGGCTTGGGGTTGCCGGCAGGCAGGCAGGCAGGCAGGCAGCATACAGGCATCATGTTTTTGGCCAGAGCTGAACTCAGGAGTGGTGTGTCAGTCAAAGCTGAAACTGAGAGCGAGCCAGAGACACCTGAAACTGATAGTCTGAAATCCACACCTGGAAGGCAGATGCTTTTCTTTTATTTCTGTCATTCTTCTGAGGTTCAAACTATAAAAGGGATCTGTTGGATGGTAATATTGCTTTTTCTGTCTCCCCAAAAACAGCCATTAAAAGAGTTTAAGAAGATTATTACCATCCTCATATCTGTCAAGGTTGCTTTCACACATGCTAAAACGTCCTGAAATGTTCCTGAAGTTGTGAGCTGCATGTGTGAACGCAAACAGCCAAATATTTCACTCTGACTTTACCCGGGATCTTTCCTGCCAGTCCTTTAGTTAATTTTCCTCATGAAGTCAGCGCTAGCTAATGTGAGAACACAGTAGGAAATATTCAGGACACTTCACCATGAGCAAGTAGGAGGGATGATGACGTTTATATTCTGCGATCGGCACGCAAACAAAGGCTGTATAGGGTGCGATTGGTGCGTGCTCTGTGCATGTAACAAAACTGCTTCAGTATGTTTTCTTATGTTGTTCTCTGCTCTTTTTTTTTTTTTAGATTATTGGGATTTTGGTTCCTTTATTTGTAGAGATAGGACAGTGGATAGCGTCTGAAATCAGGGAGAGAGAGTGAGGGGTATGACGTGTGGGAAAGGAGCCACAGGTGGGATTCAAACCTGGGTCACCCCAAACACTACGCTACTGACGCCTCGTTCTCTGCTCTTTTGTTAATAGCATGAATATGTTGAACTACAAGGAGCAGTGACTTAAAAGCCAAAAAAACGTAGCATCATAGCATCAGACTGTGTTTCTTCATCTGACACTTCCATGATGCTCTTTTTTAATGTCATGTCTAAACTCTCCGAAGTGTCCACTTCCCTTTAGCATCATTTTTTATTACAAATTAAACATAATACAATACAATGTGGTAACCCATGAGCTTAACAGGTGCCAGAAAGCAGATTTGTGCCCCTCTTGAAAGACCCTCGCTCGCCGTGTCCCCCTCTTCTTTTCAGTCTTTGTTTTCAGCTAATGCTTCATATTTATTGCACGGACACAAAACGACAGATTTGTCTTCTCATCTTAACATGAACTAATCCGGCAAGAATACCACATCCAACATGAAACACATTAGTCACAGGAAGCTTTGCTTAACACGAACACAGCGAACACATGAATTCCTGCTTGCTTAGCAGTATTCAGAGAGTGCAGGTGTAACATCATTCTCCTCGAGCGCTGTCAAGTCATGTCAGAACGATGTGGCGTTTGGAGGGTGCCAGAAATCCCTTGTTACTGAGCTGCAGAGTTGTTTTGTTTCACGAGCACACACACACACACACACACACAAGGCTGATGGTGGAGGTCCAATAATTCGTCTTGTCTGGTGTGTCTGTACTTGGACAGATTTATGGAGGATGTCGGCATGATGGTTAATTGGGTTTATGAGATGTGAGTCACATGAAGGTGTTTGCAGCTCGATTGGCAATTCTGCATGTTTGATTATCCGTAAAACAAACTGGATTGAGTTTATTAATTGGCAGCGTTTTATCCGGAGCTGCTGTGCAATACACTGTTGTTGAAGGGTCTCACAATGACTCGTCTTACTTTTAAGTGTTTCTTTCGATCAAATTGGGTCAAACCATAGAGTCCATGTGTCTTTTTTTTGATTTAGCTTGCATCGTCCTCTTTCAGCATTTTGATCCGTTTTGCACTGTCTCAATTGCACTGACACATTGAGACAAGACAGAAGATTCCCTGAAAGAGCTGCAACCCTGAAAAGACTTTTTGGGTTCGAAGCCAACAAACTGAGGAGGAAGTTATATTAGCGTTTAGCAGACTGCGCTGCCAGGACGCCTCAGCGGGGATGCGAGTGTTGACATGTGATGCAAACCCTGGACGATCTCAGCTCTGCTCTGGTGTAAAAAAAAAGAAAAAAAAAGTCTACATTGAGCATCCTTATTAGCATTTGAATGGGTGTCAACAGGAATGTATGGCACACTGCAAAAAGATTCCCCCCCCCCCCCCGTGAAGGAGCGGGGGGGGGGGGGGGGCCTGACACTCTGTATACACAACAAAAGTGTTGTCTGCTTGAAGGAGAAAAGTAGCTGGTGTGTGTTTAGCACTTGTGAAAAGAGGAGAGAAAAGGAAATAAAAGAGGAGCGTATGGGAAAGTGGATCAAGTTTTGTCTTACAGGAGAAAAAGATTTAGTCATTCAGAAGATTAAGACAGGAGTATAATTGGGTTTACTGTCAGGATAACGAGGCACAGGTTCACACCAGCTCATCAAGGAAACTACTTTGTTTTGTTTTTTTTAGTTTGCATTCCTCAGAAAAACCAACACCGCTCCTCCCCGTCCTTCTCTCTCTCTCTCTCTCTCTCTCTCTTTTACTTTATTTTCTCACACAGTCGTGCACCCTTGTATTATGAGCACAGCACCATCTGTTACCTTCTGACTCTTTAACGTGGCCTGAACACATCATCTTCATACCATCGCTGCACACGGGGAGACGGGCAGTGTCAGCTCCTTTACAGAAATATAAACTCATCATTCTAAATAGTCTAGAACTGAAGAAGAAGCCTTTGGAAGGAGAGGTGAACCCTGACAGTACTCTCCAGCTTCCAGACCAACTTCCATATTATGGTCCATATCGGGACCAACAGACTGACCCACTGCCGCCCCCCAATGTATGATATTCCCTGTAGTTTTGCCACCTATGGATCGGGTCTTGTTGTCCTCTGCATCTGATCAGGAAATAAATGATCTGATGTGAGATGCTGAGAGGACTGGAAAGAGTGGTAACAGTCTGATATTTGACGGAAATATCGCATTAAGTGAAACTGCTGTCCTGCTGTAGCTGTGTGTGTGTGTGTGTGTGTGTGTGTGTGTGTGTGTGTGTGTGTGTGTGTGTGTGTTGCTTCTCCTCTGCGACAGTGGAAGGAGTCACGGCGAGGCTGTAAATCTGGAGCTGTGGTCTGGAATGCGGCTCGTGTCAGAACACGCTTCCTCTTCCCGTTATGAAAGACCCCTTAAAGAAGATGTGGCGTGCTGACAACAACTCCATGCTCACAAACGTCTCACCTTGATTTAAGTCGTGCGTTACCTGTTTGAGCTTTGGCAGCAGAGGGTTCCGGTTTTGGATTTTGTTCTGCTCTTTAATGAATTTCTTCTCCGGATGATTTATTTCCTTTCTCCCCCGCTATAACCGTGTGACAGCATAAGATTTTTGTACAGAACAAACATAGCTTCCATCTGTTTCTGTCTCTGTTGCTCTTTGACTTTAATTCCTTCTTTTCATTTCAGTGAATGCTCATGTGATGCATCTTGTGTAAAAGATGTGTTGAGTTCCCCTGGCTGAAGCCCAAGTAGATTAAAACAAGTTTGCGCTTCCAACTCTCCAAAAACAGTCGCTATTCTGTGCCCCAAAAGCTTCAAAATATAACAATCCAGGGAGCTGGATGAGCTCAGCTGGCAGAGCAGGAGCCCAATATACAGAGGCCACAGACCTCGATGCACTGGTCGCTGGTTTGACCCCCCGGCCTGAAACCATTTGGTGCATGTCATCCCTACACTCTCTTCACCTGTCCTAATAAAGCAGGGAAATGCAACAAAAACCTCAAAAAGAAAAAAACAAATATGACGATCAATACACCACTAGAACATCAGGTTGGGATGCTCAGGTCTAGGATACTTATGAAACATCCAGTTAGATTTTCAGAATAAAAGCAGTCCACTAAGGTCTGTCCAATAAGGGTCATCCAGATAGATTTAAAAAAACAAAAACAAAAAAAACTTGCAGACTTTTGAGATTTTTCCTGACTAATGGACATGACGTTGCTAAAGGGTCACAGTTTGGTTACGTTTAAACCAAAAGACCTTTGTTAGTTTGAGGAAAAAGATACTTGTTTGTGTTCAGCTCAATACTAGGAGTTGCATAACTCACATAAGTCACATTACCGTCCTGCAGTGCATGACATTACTAATGTGCGTACATTACCATAAAGTACATTGCATGATATAAGAATCAGTCAACTGTTTAAAAGAAGTCAACATTTCATTTCCCCCCCAAAGAAATCAAACCGCATCACCCTTAATGAAGGACTTCTTTGTTTCACCCATCCATCGGCCCAAAGCAAAACCTAAAGTAGATTGTTGTGCTGTTGTAATAATGCGTCAACTGACTTCCATCCATTCAAACAATAAACTTTAAGGACAGCATCTAGAAATGACGCTGCTAGAGGGTTACCTAAAGGGTCGTATTGTTAGCTAACACACCGTCAAAGCTGGCAGTAGAGTCCTATTTCCTACATCTTCAAGAACAGTTAACATTATCTGACGTATCCCCTTTGTAACCTACTCCACGTTATGTTTTGCAGAGTTTTGACTCAAATCTAAGTCCAAACTTGTGGGCAGAGTTTAAAGGGTCAAAAAGACTTCCAGGCTAGAACAGCCATAGCTCCAAACCACCCATAGCAGATTATAACATCATGGCAGCTTGTGCTGACTCTTAAACTCAGGACTCAGTGTAGTACCAGAGACTCTCTGTATGTTTCAGCCTCTGGTAGAATTTGGCACATGCTAAAACGACTTCAGGCTAAATGCTCACACACTCCTTGCTAGCTCAAGTCAAACAAACTATACTCTTGCAGAACAAAAACTAACAGATTTAAATTGAAAACAGCAAAAAAATCATATTCAAGGATGTGTTTTAATTCCAGGCTTTGAGGAGGTCTGCGTAAAGAAGTCTACGTTGCATTTCCCCCCCCTCTAAGCTAATTTTTATATTAAGAATACCTTAAAAGTGGCCTCTTCTCTCGCCACTGAAAGTTGTTTTATATCCTCAGCAGTGTCTTATATAACCAGCAGAGGAATGGCATCTCCAACAGAAGCAATTTCATCCCACTTTGATTCATTCCTGTCATATTTCCCAAGTGGGGAAAAAGTCAAGAATTGTGAGTGAAGACATACAGTTTGAGGCTTGTTTTGTAGTGGTGTGAAGGAGAAAAAGTTGTATATATTGGATTTTTTTTTAACAGAAGGAAGCAATTATTGAGAGTCAGCAGTTGGTGGATAAAGTTGTAGATCTCAGGACTTAAGAAAGGAGGCTGTTTGGAGAGGCTGGTGGACTTCCAGGGAAAGTAAATCCCCAGCGGAGCCCTGTGCCGCTTTCAAGGGCTTTGTCAATAAAAGCAACCAAGCAAAGAAAATACCTTTGCCCAAAATCGACTGAGTACAAGTTATGTAATTCAAACCATGTGATTTTATTTTTTGATATACCTCACTTCACGTCTCTTTTCTTTGACCGGTCTGGATTAATAGAAAGACAAAAAAAAAAAAACCTTTTGTGGTTTATTCCAAGTCACTCACACGTTTTTAATTGTCACTCTGGATGTTTGATTTTGATTTAGTAAAGTGAAAATATTTCACTGCTCTATAATTTTCTGGATGCAGCCTGGCGTGCATGAAAAAATGCATTTCCTAAAGGAGAGCAGAAGTTGTCATTATAGCATGTGGAGGGGGGGGGGGCTCGTCTGAGGGCTGCCGAGGATCAAAACAGTCTTTTTGCACGAGCCTGCTGTACAAGTTAGAGCAGGACCCGGCCTTCAGCACCTCACACCATACACCGACACACACTCGGCACTGCACTCACGCTCGGGTTGTTTTTCTCTCAATGCATCTGCTCATCAACTAAAATGATTGAGTGACTTTTATTTTCTTGTTAAACTAATTCTACAGTCACTTTTAAAGCTGAGCAGAGACTTTTGATGCACCACGTAACCAGTTCTTTGACTTTTCCTTTTCACTGCACATATATTTTGCCACTGGCTGCACTTATTGTCACCCTCAAACACACTCGCGCGCACACACACACACACACACACACACACTATTCTCTGCTCTATTTTCACAGCTGTAACGCCAGCGGTTTCTGGCTCTTTTTTTTCCACTGTAATGGAAGATATGTGCGCTCTATCCCTCCATCTCCCTGTGATCTCTTTTGAATTCAAAGCCCACATATTCCCGAGGCGTCACTGTGGAGAAAAGAGGGGAGGTGCTGTGGGGGGGGGGGGGGGGATTATGTGGTGGTGTGATTGAAAGTTTGACTCCGGTCATAAAAACGGAATGACAATAGTTCATCCAAAAGTTAAGAATCAAACCACGATACATTGAGGCAAAGCAAAGAGGTGGATTTCAGAGAAGAAGAACAAAAGGAAGAAAATGCTATAAAACCTAGAGGCATCTTTCAGTGTTTCCCACCTGCTCTTTTCTTGATACAGATGTTTTCTCCAGCTTGGCAGGACATGAATAGATTAAACTTACTTCAGTCAATAATTGCTGAAATTAACATCAAAGTGATCATTAGTGGTTTTTTTATTCCAACCAAATGATTTCTTTTTTTTTTTATGTCTACTGGCATGAAGTAGTAACTCTCACACTCTCTCTCCTCCCATCGCTCACCCCAGCTTTCATTGAGACTCTCCAGATCCCCTGTGCCAATGGCAGGGAGGTGGGCCGGGCCTGCGAGTCTCCATCATGGCGGCCTCCGCTCACCACCATCACCGTCTCCAAAAAACGCAACTGGCTGCAGCAGAGCTCCCTCGGGAGGAATCACTGCGCCAAGGATGAGCAGCAGGGAATGCTGGGAGCTGAGGAGGAGGGCGTCCAGGGCTCCTATCAGCCACCACCTCCTCCCAGTCCTTCTCCAGACCATCTGAGACCCTCAGGGGGGAACACAGCACGGCCGGTCCGCCTGCACCTGCCTCAGGTTGGCCATGATGCCTCAGTCTGCTTTAAGGGGAATAGTTGATTTTGGGAATATATCTTGTTACATCCGTCTTAATGGAAGTTAAAAATCTGCAAGATGTAGTTTTAAAGTGCTGATTAATGTCCAATATTTCCCTCTTTCATCACAGATTGTCCAGTTAACAAACAAGATGTAACAGGCTAATTTGCTTTGCTGAGAGAAACTTCCCAATGACTAAAACTGGAAGAAGTCAAACTACAGTAAAGCTTCCCCAGGGACACGATTGGTTGGGAAATGCAAATCTACTTAGTTCAAGATAATCTTTAAAGAATTATCAAATTTTAAATGTACAAAAGATGCCACTCAACTGGGTTTCTACAAAAACATACCCTTCTACTTCTGGACAAGGACAAGACTGCTACATATGGGAAACAAACCTGTTGTTTAACCACAACTTAATCGTATTAAAAAGTATTTAAATCCCTCCATTTAGGTTGATAAAAGATGAAGCTGGCATCAATTGTAGTTTCAGTAGTTACCTCAAATTTGGGTAGGAACGGTCACTAGGTCACTGAACAACCAAAGAGTTTTAACAATATGCAGTGAAACTTTACACAACAAGTTTATTTCACTTCTAACCAGGTTGCTGGCTCCAGTTTTGTATTGAGCATACAGAGTGTTGTAAGCTTGTTTCCCATGATGTCTGTTTAAAAAAAAGTAACTATGGATGCTTGTTTGAACTTTCTTCTTTTTCCTCAAAGTTTCACCACAAACGTTGCCCTTGTCTTTATTTAGGTCAACGTCAGTCAGGCCAAGGCGTCCCCTCACTCTCGCAGCGTGGATCCAGCCGAGGAGAACGACGCTGACGATGAGGGAGAGATCTGGTACAACCCAATCCCCGAGGATGAAGAACAAGATACGTCTCACCGATCCACCGTTCAGCTGCTGGTCCCCCCTCGAGTAGATCCCCAGAGGAGGCCCAGCAGAGGGGCGGATGTGGGTCACGGCGGCAGGAGCCTCGGGGTCGGCGCAGGCGGCGGCGGCGGGCTGGAGGCGCTCGGGGAGAGCCTCTGTGGAGGTGGAGGAGGAGGAGGATCAGGGGATGGGAGTCAGGGGAACGCTGCACATTCCACAGAGGCACCACATCTGCACAGACAGATGCTCGCGTGCAAACCACAGGAGGAGGGGGGGCCTTCCACCAGCAGAGCCACAGGTAAGTCATAAAAAAAAAAAAAACTTCCTCATGCACTCTCCCTCAGGTATCTTTAAGGCCAATGCTCAGGGCCATTTAGTGTCTGTCGTTCGTCTTTCAGTCCGTCACTCTGAGCAGAGTTTTGTGGTTGTTGACACCTTGGGCGCTAATTACAGCTGTTGTAATAATTGTTCCCAATTAAAAAGGATCAAGAGGCTTATTTAGCTGCAAGTAATTCCTGGCTGCCTGTAGCTCCACTCTCTCGTGTGAATTACAAAAATGCTTTAACAACGTTTTTTAGTGGATTTTCCTCCTAACCTACATTTACACAATAATTAATCAAGAACGTTATAAAGGAGGTAAATTCAAAAGCTTGATACCGAAGGCAACTGGCAAAGGCATCTTCAAGATCTTCAACCAAGTCCATCAAGCTTCAAGTATGACCTAGGATGACTGAGACGCAGATGTAAAGGAGGTAGAGAAATCTGCAACACAGCAAAATACAGGACAAGGTGTAATGAAGAGGTAAAAAGTAAATTATATATTAAAATATTCCACAAAAATAATAATACAAAAATTGGAATAAAAGTTAGAAACCTCATCAAAAGTCGTCCAATCATAATTCAGTGAATACATCACTCGTGTTTACAGATCAACCTGATCAGATAAAACAGTCCTCAACATCTTTACACTTACACACATACCTGACCTCTTGTATTTCAGTACGTCTATCAATGCCTCTTGGAGGATTTCATTACCTCAAGTGTTAAGTTTCGGTTCAGTTTCCGCTGAGCTGAAAAACAATATCCTGCCGGCGTTAAAACATTGTAGCACTCAGAGCTCAGTTTTTTAGTTGTTTTGTTCTGCTTGATTGGAGCGGACAGAAGCTGTAGCTGCCCAATCATATCACTCCATATCAGTGTCCCTCATTAGTTCAACTCAAACAGACATTAACCCGGAGGAATTCAGACCATGGCATTCTCTCGCAGAGAAGAATATCCATTTAGTTTTTTTTTTTTGACTGCAGCTCACAGAGACAGACGGCTGTGACCTTCTGCTGTTTCTTTTAGTTGAATAAACGTCTTCTTGTCTTTAAAACTCTCATTAAAACTGCACTTCTGATGTGTGTGGACACAAAAAACACACATAATTGCTTGTAAAATGGCTTTAAGTACCGTGTCTAGTACCCTATAAAGTCCCTTTTTTTTTTTTATTCGCTTTTGTGCTCAGAAACTGTTGACAAGTTGAGTCTACAGCGACGGCATAATGATGACAGCCAGCACACAGCTCCCTGTCTGTTAATAAGCCCCGGTCTGCTTCTTCCTAACTTCCGACTTTTTTTGTTCCCTCTGATGTGGCAACATGGTAGTTTCAACCAATTGGCACATCTCGAGCTGAGCCTATAATTACAACTTTTGACAACGCTTTTCTGTGGCACGCAACAGCCATTTCTCCAACGGAGGGCACAAAGCGAGGCTGGGCTGTTTGTGTGTACGCAGACTGAAATCTAATACTGCAAGCTTTAGTGTTCACAAGCACGGCTCTGCTGCAGGAATGAAGGTTTTTTTTCATCCTGCAGTACTACAGCTGAAAAGTCGAAACCGCAATTCATTTATTCATCTCTCGCGACACAGGGAAGAAATCGGACTTTCAAAACGATAAAAAAAAGTCAAGAAACTGTCTTGCTTAAATGAAAAAGTAATGTACTTAAGAGGAGGACACAAGTTTGATTGGCGGCTGAAAAACTCCTTGAACCTCATTTACTGGATACAAACTGTGTGTTTGTGTCTCAGCAAAACTCTCCGACCTGAGAGACTCCCCCCCCCCCCCCCACCCACCCCCCGTGGGATTAGGATTAAACCAGTCCCGAATGAGTCTGAGTCCACCAGCCCAGAATAGGCACTAATCATAGCGCACAAAGCTAATTAAATTGAGTCGATCCCCGCCTGCACCTTCTGATAGATCTTACTTGCAGTGCTGATGAAATTTGCCGGTGTCGTGAGGGCCCTCCTCGCTGAGTTAGCAGAGGAGAGGACATAATTGGAGGCTTGAAGTTGCTTGTTCAGCTCCTTGTGAACAAAAAGGCCTTTTTTAATTTTCCCTGCGCTCTCTCTCTCTCTCTCTCTCGCTCTCTCTCTCGCCCTTTCCAGAAGTGATTCATTTTTCCATCAACTTGTCTCCGCTCAAAGGGCTCATTTACATCCTGTAATAAGTTTCTGTTTAATGGGAGCAGGTCTGGGGGGGGGTGTGTGTGTGTGGGCTCACTGGTGCTCTGACTGGGTGCTGTGAAAGTGAGAAGCAGGACTAGAGGTGTCCCCCCCCCCCCCCCCCCCCCCTCTCTCTTACCCTCCCTCTCTCTTACCCTCCCTTACCCTCCCTCCGGAACTGCCCTCCTCCCTGCTGCCTGTTGACTTTGCAGCTGATTCCTGCGGGTTTTTGGCGACGCCATCCCAAACTTCACCGCAACAAAAAGAGAGTTATGAGCCCGGGCTATGTGTCATCAAAGAGCAAACACTCATCACTGGTTGTTTGCGTGTGTGTTGTGGTGCAGTAGAGACATTTGTTTTAAAGTAGAAGGAAAGGTGGGACTAACATGAAATGTTTTAACACCTTACTTGTGGTGGTTGCTGTTTAACTCTGCTTGTATTTGGCTGCAGAGTGACACTGCAATCCTTCTTTACTATCACTGGTTTGGGAGGGTTAGAGGATGCTGGGCTGGAGTGGAAACAACAACAAAATGGAAACAACCTGAATCGGGCAGTTGAGGGGAATCATGAGAGAGAATATTATATTATATTATTATAATCTAATCAAGAGTATTGAGATATTTCAATTTTGGGATTTTCTTAACCTGCAAACTGCCAAAAAAATAGAAAATCTGTTGATCCCACTATAATCCTGTTTTGCTTTAAATTTGGATTGTCGAGCAGACATGATTAACAAATGCTGTCTTAAAACATAAATACAGAGAAAGTATTTTAGATGCAATACTTCTGTAATATTTATGTAATAAAGCACATCAATACCTGACTTTCATGCATCAATACAATATGGACATGTAAAGTAATGGGATACTATGCTGTATTGATATTTTCACCCACACATAACATTGGGTAACATCTAGGTCAGACTGGGACCTTGAGGGGATCTAAAATCATTTCCCAAACAGTATTTATAATAATAATAATGCATTTTATTTATAAGCGCTTTTCAAAAACTCAAAGACACTGTACAATAGTTACACACAGAAAGAACAGCAACAACAATAAAGGTAAGACTACAGAAAACAGGAAATACATCACAATCATACATTAAAAGCTTGTTTGAAGAGGTGAGTTTTGATGAGTGATTTGAAAGTAGGATGGTCAGTGCAGTGTTGAATGTGTGTAGGGAGTGAGTTCCAGAGGGAGGGGGCAGCTATGGAGAAGGCTCTGTCTCCCCCCCCCAGGTTTATGTGAAAAATTGTGTATTTGCAGTTTATGTTCTAGAGATTTATTCTTAAATTGAAGCTGACAGCGCCCCAGTATGATGAGCGGATGTGAGAATACACGGGTAATATTCAGCAAGTCCACTGCCAGCTAGAAAGTGGGGTTGATGACCAGCATCTACACTATTTCAGTCACATCTTTTGTGTCTTCTTCAGCAGATTTTTGACCGTTTTGAGGCCCATAGAGACGCCACTTTATCTGAAGGGGCCAACCATTCAACAAGTCCTTTCTTTGATTGAGTCCCAATAAGAGCGTCTGCTGACTTAATGAAGCGCTGCAGATGTTGATGACTCTCTGTGACTATAGCTCTCCTCTGTTCGGCTGGCTGGTTCTTTTTCCCCTCACCGGATACACTCCAGACTCCTCGTGTGCTGCCTATTGACTGACTTTGTGTCCATCTGAATGCCCTATTTGTATGGAGAATAATGATTGATGGACTTTGGGGGTGGTGAGCACGCTGCGTTCCCCAATCTCTTGTTCCCTTTTAGCGCCTGTTTGGGGAATCTGACTTGGCCCGGCGCTCAGGACGAGATCAGAGCTATTTCTGGGGGTTGTTTTGGTCACGCTGGCTGCTGTGTTTGAGCGTTGGCTCCGGCTGCTGAAGTTACATGAGAGAGTTCAGGCCCTCCGAGTTGAGACCTGGAATCTAATCTCGGGGCTGACGATTGTACGGTTGGGTCTGGAGGAAGTCAACAACTCAGAGGAGCTGCGTTGTTGGAGCAGCACTTCAAAAAAACCAGCAGCAGATTCCTCAGCTTAGTACAAGATGTGAAGTTCAGGTCACATAGTTTCTCATAGCTCCTTCGTTCTGCTCTGTTTTTCATTTTCATCACAAGAGCTGCTGAGGAGTGTTCTGCTCTCTGTTTTGATGAGTGAAGATTTTTATCTGTGTACACTTATACATAATCCGTCCTTAACTGGTCATGCATGCATGGGTGGTCACATCAGTATCTGCGTTTTAGCCGGTACAGACTGGATCCTGACCAGGCGTGTGGTGACAGATTTTCTAGGTTTATTCACAACCCTCAAGTATTGTTATTCAGGCTGCAACTAACTTCAGCTTTCGTTTAAAATGTTACAAAACAAAACCATTTCCTGGAGTCGAGGTGAAGTCTTTGTGGAAACTGTTTTTTAAACAAACAGATGATTTCCCAACAGCGCTGTCGTGACGATTCCCCAACATGTACTTCCATATTGATTCCACAACAGGAATAAGATTGGTGTCCCAGTCTGTGATTTCACATTGCAGCATTCTGGCGTTGAAGCTGCATGACACACACACACACAGCACTGTTCTCCCCTGCTGGCTCTGCTGATCCTGTCTCACCCCTGTAACGCCTCTATTACTACATCTAGCACATAGGGGGGGATGTCTTCATGCCTCTATCACGCTCTGTGACGTTCATATTGGAGGAGAGATGTTGGCTTGTCTTTATTTGTGAGTTAAAAGTCAGACAAGGTTTTGCTGTTTGTATAGCTTCTTACTATTTTTGCTTTATTTCTAAACTAATTGTTTTTGCACCAAAAAAAAAC